CAGAATTGAAAAGCTTTTTGAAACCACTTTCCAGAGAGTGTCTCAAACATGTCCGGGCCTTCCTGTGCCTACATTGCCCCTTGTCCCTTCTCCCCTCACCCCACCCCTTCACGTAGAGCTCTGTGGGGCCTAGACTCCAGAGAACCTTAAAGTCAGGAAATTCTGGCACTTCAGAAACAAAAACCAGTAAGCACAAACCCATTTGATTCAGGATTACCCTCCCGGGAGGATGAATCCTAATGTAGGCGTGAGAGAAGCTTCAGACTGCAGGTAAAATGGCCAGGGGAACTCCCAAGTGACCAGAGGCTGTGGGGATTTGGTGGCCTTAGGTACTGCTGTGGGGACAGGAAGTGCCCAGGGCCGGAAGGGCCGGCTGTTCAAGTCCCTGTGTGCCATGTCAGCAACAGGTCTGTCCCAGGACTCGCTGGCAGACACACAATCCTAATATGCTAGCCTCCTGAGAAAGTGGGGGAAAGATAACAGAGAGGGGCTGGCAGGGAACAAGTGAGGAGTGGGCCTCCCTTAGCTACGCAGTGAGAGAGCATTTATGAGGATGCAGGGAGTGGTGGTCTGGAGGAAAGGAGGCTGATCAGGATTAGTAAGACTTGGAGAAAAAATTGGACATTTGCACCACTGAGTCGTGTTCCGCTAACCCTAGTTTTAAAGAGCCATTAAAAAGTAATCTTGGAAAACAACGTTAATATATTTTTATTTTTTAATTAAAAAGAAAAGAACTTTATTTTTTTTTTTACATATTAAAATCGGACCGATAGGGGCACCTGGGTGGCTCAGTCGGTTAAGCGTCCGACTTCGGCTCAGGTCATGATCTCACGGTCTGTGAGTTCGAGCCCCGCGTCGAGCCCCGCGTCGGGCTCTGTGCTGACGGCTCGGAGCCTGCTTCGGATTCTGTGTCTCCCTCTCTCTCTGCCCCTCCCCCACTTGTGCTATGTCTCTATCAAAAATAAATAAATGTATAAAAAAATTTTTTTAGTAAGTAAAATCAGACCTATAAATGAAAATCTTAACTTTGTAGATGGAATCCTGGCAAATACTTAAAGATGCACAGAAGCTGTGCTCTTTATGCACTTTATACTCAGCAGGTGCAGTGCTGGATAATCACCGGCATCCTTGCAATTGATGATCACTTTGACAGTTTATTCTGGGCTATTTATATTCATCTTGGATGTGACACTCCTCTCCACATCAAATTAGGAGGGTAGTCTTTAAGCTGGAAATGGGGGGTTTCAAATAATTTTAAAGACATCTTAATTTTAAAACATTCACATTATTTTTCCGGGGCACCTGGATGGCCCAGTCAGTAGAGCATGTGACTCTTGATCTCAGGGTCATGGGGGGAGTTCAAGCCCCACTTTGGGCATGGAGCCAACTTCAAAAACAGAAACATTATTCCTACTTGAGGTTCCTAATACGATACGTATTTTAATCTACAGTTACTACCACCAGGGAGTTTTGAAAATTCATCCTTAACACTGAGTGTTATTTTGCATATCCTGCCGGTGCTTATTATGTAGATGATACAAGCAGTTCACATTCGGTGCTTTGTTTCCTCTTCACATCCACTAACTCTAAATTTAGTGGGGCCTCTTCTCCCCATCTTAAACCGTGAGCCGAGACAGAGCGTCGCCCAAGCCCACGTGGCTAGTAAGTGGTGAAAGGCAGATTCAAACCCAGGCCGTGTGGCTTCGTTCTCAAGTTGGACTTTAACCATCATGCTCTGTTGTTACGCTACTTCCTGTGCCTTCGAGAGTGTTTGGCAGGTGGCGCGGCCTTCCCTCTAGCAAGCGTTGGCTGGTCTTCGCTGGCGTAGTAAGTTCTCTCGGTTGTCCGTATGAGCAGCCACCATGTTGGGATTTAAGAGTGACGTCTTTGCCAGTTTTTACCTTTGTCACTTTGAGCCACGGTCGCTTCATCTCTTTGTCATATATCTGTAAGTATGAGAGAACCGAAGGCACACAGAGAGTGAAAAGAACGAGAGTGAGAAATGCCAGGAGAGTCCAGAACACTATGTAGAGAAAGCAAAGACTCCCTCCCAGACGCTTATAAGCAAGCCTGTCAGTAGAGACAAAGAGGGATAAGAAGCATGCGCGGCTCTCTACTGGGAAGGTAGCAGTGACACAAAGTAAGTTCTGTGTATAGTGTAGAGAAGCCCCGGTGGTCGAGGAAGGGGCTTTATGTGGAGGGCTACAGCTGATCTGACCTTGAAGCCAGAGGTAGCCTTTAGTCACGGTAGCCAGTGGGGACTAGAATGCAAGGTGCAGGTGTGGTGTAGACTGCCGAGTTTTGTTTAGCTGCTAATCCCACGCGGAGGGATGGTATGTCAGCGTGCCTTCTTTTTAACACCAAATTGAGATTTCTCCCGTTATTTTTACACTCCGGTGTAGAAAGTAGACTCTGCTTCTACTTTTACTCGGCTGAGAGAGCACTAATGTCGGTAAAAGGGCAGCTTTCAAAGGTGAGCATTGGGTTCAGTTCCTCACCGTGACATCGATAGCTCACGTGACCTTTGGCGAGTTATGTTAATGCTATAAACGTCAGTTTCCTCGCTTCGGAAATGGTAATAACAGTGCCTACCGTGTGGTTTCATTTTTAGGATTCAGTAAGGTAATCGTTGTAAAGTACTTAACACAGTGCCAGCTGGCATTCAGCAGACGGCCTTTTCGCGCCTGTGTCTGAGTCATGGCATTGGGTAAGCCGTGTAGAGTTGCCGGGAGGCCGTGAGAGACGTACAGGAACCACCGTGCCACTCCGAGACCGCTTTGCAGTCTGACAGCGGTATCCGGGAGTGTCCCCACTCCTGACCTGCTGGGGGTGAGGCCCAGGCGTCAGCTTTAACAAGCTTTCCAGTTTGTGTATACGGTAAACGTCGAAGTCCCCTGGTAACACTTTCTGGTTGAGCGTAAGGCTCGGTAGTCAGAGTCAGGTTTGAAGGCTGGCTTTGCTGCGGAGACAGATGTACTCTTCGGCAGTTTAATTTACATAACCTTTTCTGCCTCTGCTCTTCCGCTTGTAAAATGGCACCAAGCCTGCTTAGCTCCCTTGTCGGATGGCTGTGAGGACTGAGACATTTTTAATATACCCGAAGCACTTGGAATCATGTTTGGCACACCAGGGTGCCCAAAGAATGCGGCTGTGCTGTAGTATTTATGGTGACCGCTCTATTACTGTCCGACTGCTGCTGTCACGGAAGTCTATGTATCGGTGACATAAAACAACACGAATTTATTAAAGTTCTCTGAAGGTCAGAAGTCCATAATGGGCCTCGGGGGAACTACATTCCTTTCGGGAGGCTCTCGGGGAGAAGCCATTTACTTGCCCTTCCCAGATTCCCGGGGGCTGCTGCATGTGTTGGCTCATGCCCCCCTGCCATCTTCAAAGCCAGCAACGGGCCACTCAAGTCTTTCTCACTTCACGTCGCTGCGACACTGACTCTTCTGCCTTTCTCTTGCACCTTAGGGACTCTTCTGACTGCATCGGGCCCACTCCGATGATCCGGGGTAATCTCCCTATTTTGAGGTCTGATAAGCAGCCTCAATTCCCCTTTGCTCCAGAGCCCCGCACACTCACAGGTTGTGGGGATTAGGACGTGGACGTCTTGGGGGACAATTATTTTGCTGACCACAACCACCAATGTCACTTGGATGCACACAGTGCCCACCAGCATTGGTGCTGCCCTTCTCCTGGAGCTTGCTTTCCTACCCTCGACCTTTCCTCCACCTCTTCCGCTCTGTTCTCCCTCTTTTTAGTCCTTAACCTGCCTCCAGTGACCTCTGCCTCACTCATACTCAGTTGAGGAAATAGCAGCCACCAGATGAGAACTTGCTCATCTGACCCACAACTGTGCACTTAGCTGCTTGTATCCATTTTCTCCTCCTTTGCCTCTACTAAGAGGGAGGCAGTGTCTGTCTTCAGTTCTTAAAATCCTGGCACTTGTCACCCTGCCTCTCCTCATTTTTAGATTTTTGAGACAATGTATAGGGTCTCCCATCTTTAAAAAGCCCTCCTGGGAACCCACATTCCTTCTCTGGTTCCTCCACCTCTCTCTTACTCGTCAGCCCCATCTCCGAACCCTGCTTTCACACTTGGCAGTTGAAGCAGAAGCCTGGAGATCACCCTCTGACCCTGTGTCAGCCCCTCCCCTGCAGTCCCCAGATCCCAGCATCTGCCTGTCCGACTCCACGCCCTCCTCCTTCCTCCCCTGCCGGGCCCTGGTGCCTCCGCCCGTGCCTCCCTGCGCCGTCTCTCACTGCACAGCTCCAGTGGGATTTCAGAGCCAGAACCGGACTTGTGTCACGCCCTTTTTGCTGCATTTCGGGCAGAACGCAAAACGAAAAACATGTTTAACCTGACCTGCTCCCGCCACTCTAGCCTCGTTTCTCCCTCCCCCCTTCACTGCGAGGCAGCCACAGTCTCACAGGTTGTCACTTGTCAGACGTGCCAGGTGGTCGTCTGCCTCAGAACCTCCTTGTCTGCAGGACTCACGCTAAGTTGAGGAAGACAGGACTGGCATTAATTTCATTCAGAGGTTTTCTGCTGAAAAATTTATCAATGGATTGAATTGTCAGTGTAATAATTGACATGCTACCTACTAGGAGCACCTCTTTACAAATTGCAAAAGAAAAAAAAAAAGTCGATTTTCCATCTTGCACCTCTTACTACAGACATAGCCTTGATTATAATGGAGAGAAACTGTAGAGATAATCCTTTTTCACTTCTGCACTGGTTAACAGGACTTTATTGGTACCAGCTAGAACACGGTGCTCCCTGGTATGCAAATACTGCCCCGGATGTATTTCCCAGGTGTTCTTGCCAAACCCGGTTTATCAGATACACAGTGATCTAGCCATTCCTGGGTAAGGAGAGAAAGAGGTGACATGGTTATCTTGTGTCTTGTAAAACATGGCTCTCTCGTTATTTTTATAGTGATTCTTCTTGATTACCTGACACTTTATTAATATTTCTTTATGTATCTTATGTTGCAGACTATTCAGACTATGAAGACAGTTCTCTAGAATTTCTGGAAAGGTGCTCTTCTCCACTAACTCGATCTTCTGGGAGTTCTCTGGCTCTGCGAAGCATGTTTACGGAGAAAAATACAACATATCAGTACCCAAGGGCAATTTTGTCAGTTGATCTTAGTGGTGAAAGTATGTGTAACTATGTAATGCTTAAAACAAGTCTTAAGATCCTTAAGTGTGGAACTGAGATAACAACATACTTTATTAAGGGCTTACGTGAGCAGGGCACGCCGTTTCAGAAGTTCTTCCATAAACTAATAAGAAAATCTCAGCATTAGAAATTTGAACTACTTTTTAAAATCCTGTAAAGTAAAATTGGCTTCTGTAATTAATTGAAGGGCAGATGGTAAAGAAACTCTTAGTGTCCACCATGTACTGGTCATAGGTATTTGCACATACATACTGGGAATCTGCCGGGTTTCCCCGAAAGCCCGGTCCTGACCGCGGGGTTGTTATCTTACCTTCCAGTGCTCTCAGCAGTCCAAGGGGAGCCTCTCCCGCTGGAGACCCTGACGGCAGTGGCTTGAGGACGACAGTCAGGGAACGAAGGATAAGGGACAGGGTCTTGGTCTTGGGATGGTTGTGGCTGAGCTCACTTCCTGTCTTTTCCTTTCTGCTGAGGGCCCAGCGTGGTTGGTGCCGTGCTTCCTTTTGCACTGCTGCCTCCTGCTTAACCCCCAGGCCTGACTGCTGTCGAGCCCACTACGGAGAGTAGCATCTTCTCCCTTTTCTCCTAAAACAGGCGCCCAGCACTTTAGAGATGTATAGTCTTAAAATATGGGCGGGGGTGGGGGGGGACAGAGGATTAGGAAAAAGACCTCCCTCTGTTTCTAACAAACACCAGTCCCCTGTCCCTTTTTGGGCCAGTGGCTCTTAAACCCAGGTGTGCGTGATCATTGTTGCTGTGATGCCTTCCGAACCCCGATACAGAGACCTGTTGCGGAGCATGAGGCAGATTTCTGGAAGGGCAGATGCGGTTTTTGGCAAGATACAGTTTCCGAGTGATTCTTTGGGGCAGGGTGGCAGGGGTTGAAAATCACCTAAGAGCACCCCAGTTTGAGCCGTGAGGGCCTGAGTGTCCTCCTTATACACAGAGCGCTGCTGGAGAATGGAGACTATGTCCGGGCGGGCTGTGTTGCCAGAACTAGATGCTCGAGAGGGGAGGGAAAGGGTGTCGCGGGCGCGTGCTGTCGGTTCTGCTGTGTCTTCTGCCCCCTGTGTGACCGAGCACTGACCTGTGAGGGGTGTGGGTCTTCGGCCAGGGCTTCTCAGACGTTAGCGTGCATCAGAACCACCTGGAGAGCTTGTGAAAAACACTTTTCTGGGCCTCACCCTCAGAATTCCTGATGTCAGGTGAGTTCCCGGGTGACGCTGATCTGGAATCCACACTCGGAGAATATGTCTGGGAAGACAGTGATAGATCAAGGGGTAGCCGTTGGAAGAGGATGGTGTTCTGTGGCCACTCAGTTGGAGCTGTTGTCCAGATGCTATTTTAGTGCGAGAGGGAACTTTGCTTTTGTAACTCTGAACCCTTGGACCCATTTACTCTGCCCTTAGAATTCAGCCAAACGTATGTTTGATGCTTGGGAATTATTCAAACTAGGTTTTCTGGCCATTATGTTCAGTTTACATTCGAACATCATAAAACCTGTGATTTTGGCCATGAAAGCATGTGTGAGATACACACTAATTCCTTTCAGTGATAATAGTTTTAAATTTATTTATCCTGCTACGATTGCCATCCATATCATGCCACCTACATGCTGCAACAGTGTTTGTTTATTCATGTCCTAGTCTGCCATTTTGAAACATGAACTTGCATTCAGGAAGGCCTGAGAGAAAATACTGATTTTGGGTTTATGCTAGCAAGATGATGAATGAATGAAATCTCCTCTTTAGGTTCTTAAAACTACTCATTATTATTAGGATTTTATAATGCATGATTGACTTACTCCTTCTTGAAAATTTTCCTATATTTCTCGACCATTATTTCTACTGACTTCTCTGAGATGTCCTAAGACCCTAAAAAAGACATTTTTCTATAGAACATTAACTTTTTGTAAATCAAAAACAAAACATTCAAAAACAGAGTCAGGGAAAAAATAAGATTAGAAGCTGATAAGAGAAACACTAAGTCATGAAATATTTAAGTTATAAACAACATGATTTTTTTTTTTTTTTTTTTT